TTTTTTTTTTTTTTTTTTTAACCTGCCGCGTCTCACTCGACCTACCAAACGATGGACAAGATGGCGGCGGCAGCAGGGCGGTATGGTGTGATGGCGGAGTATGGCGGCGGGCTGTGGTGGCGGTCCTACAAGAAGAAGAAGAAGAAGAAGAAGAAGAAGAAGAAGAAGAAGAAGAAGAAGAAGAAGATGGCGACGGCGGCAGGGCAGTATGGTATGGTGGAGGGGTATGGCGGCGGGCTGTGGCGGCGGTCCTACAAGAAGAAGAAGAAGAAGAAGAAGAAGAAGAAGAAGAAGAAGATGATGATGAAAGGGGGAGGAGGAGGAGGAGACAAGAGGCGGAGGAATGATCGAAGAAGAAGAAGAAGAAGACGAAGAAGAAGAAGAAGAAGACGAAGAAGAAGAAGAAGAAGAAGAAGAAGAAGAAGAAGAAGAAGAAGAAGAAGAAGAAGAAGAAGAAGAAGAAGAAGAGCGGAGAAGGTTTTCTTTTGTTTCCCGTACCTGTCGTTTATCTCGCGACCTATCACTAACGAATGAAAAAAAAAAAAAGAAAAAGAAGATAGTCGGAAGAGGAGCAGAGAAGAATAAGAAGAAGAATATTTTTGTTTTGGAGTGCTAGCGCCTTGCGACCCGCGGACGGCTGAGCCCGCCCGCCAGGATCCGCATGAGCCCGGTGGATATGGCCGTAGGACATATGAGCCTGCGCCATCGCCACGTGGCTTGAACATATGCTGCCCCGCGGTTGCGTCGCGACCCAAGTGGTGCCCCCACGCCGAGGTAGATGATGTAGTGACGCCAGCATGACTGTGCGAAACAACGGTGAGCCTAAGGAACTCGATGCAGAAAGGAAGGAGTGGAGAACCGGGGAGTGACGGCAGCTGGAAAGCGTGCCACTAGGGAAAAGAGGAATGGGGAGAGGAGGGGGTTGGAAAGAGTGCCACTGCGGAGAGAACTGACAGACAAAAGAGAGAAGGACGCTTCAGACCAACAATTCTGACCGAGGAAAGTGACCTGCACT